GGTAGAAAAGCAGAGCATTAAGCAACTAGTTAACAAGCACAACCTAAGATAAAGCATCCTTGGCAGGCAATATCTGTAAGGTTTATTATATAAGACAATTGAGTGCAGGCTACTGAAGACTTATGAGGTTAAGTGACTTTAATTTAACAATGAATAAAGTATTAAACAGTTGTGATATACTTCTACTTAACATTTCTGGGGTAAGCGCTACCACTTTTGCGCTTACATTTGACTTGCACATACAGAGTTTATATGGTTGGAAAAGAAAGATCTAAAACACCCTTCACTTCACTTTGTTTGCACTAATAAAAATGCTGCTGCCTTCAAGCTGCAATCACAGATAAAGCAGTATTCTGTAGTTGGTTTGCTATATTCTCATGAATATCATTATTGCAAATCTGAGCCTAGATACAGACATTTTAAAAATGTCTAGTGTAGTATGTGGTACACAGAATAAACTGACATCTGTAAAGAAAAGCTCAAATGAAAAAAAAAAAAAAAGAGTACAATCTGTGGTTCACTAAATGAAACAAGTGTTACTTGTTCAGTAACAGTAGGCTTGGTGGCAGAAATCTGCACAGCTGTAGGTCTTTGCCCCGCCTAAAATCACTCATTTTACAACTTTGACAAGCAACGAACCAACAGACTGAATGGGAAAGGAGGCCCAACTGATGATGGAGACATTACAGGGCCTCAGCTTGCAGATGAATCATTCATCACATAGCTGTATCTGGTCTCAAACACAAATGTGTGTATATACACATACACACATTAAAATCTTTCGGTTATTGTGGTTTTAGCAATGCCATTTAGATTCCCCAAATAATGCCAGCAAAAACAAAGGCACCCAAATAAGCACCAAGTTTTCAGTGTTTGCTTATATCAGGGTTCATACACATTTTTCCTGTCAGGTCCTGTTATGCAAACACTTAAATTTGTCTGTTGTCTCAGTGGCTGATAGTGCCCCACAGGCCTCAATGTGAGCTAGAAGCCATTTATAATTTTTAAGTTGTTTAATGTGTAGGTGCTCACAATAAACAGATTTTGAGTGAAAGCCAGGGAACTTCAATAGCAAAGAAAAGTGGCTATTCCCATTGCCCATATTGATCAGTCCCTCTTATTACCATTTTTTGCTTATGCCATAAGTTGGCCAGTTAAATATCGGACTAACCTTTAAAGCTTTCACTTGAGTGGAGTCGCTCACATTACTGCTAAGTAATGTTAGCTTACAGCATATTCCATATATCACCATGCCTTAACTAACTACTATAATAGCGCTGCCATACTGCATCACACTCAGTGCATTTCAATCATTTCTCCAGCAAGTTTGATAGCTAGCAAAATAATAATAATAATAGTTTTAAAAATTAGCATGTGTTATGTATGTATACTTGAAAATCATCTCATCTGTCATGTGACTCAAGAGTACAAATTCCACCAGTGTCGTTTTCTATCAAAAGACAATATTAAAATTTAAGCATTTTCAAGGATTTCAAGCACCCTGTTATATTCTCAACTCTAGCTGCTAGTTGTAAAAACAAACATTTTACTGTGAAATGGAATATTCATCTGATGGCAAAAAGCACCATGTGTCTGCTGCACAGAATACAAAGTGTTGCATTAATGTAATTCACTTACATGATCACTCTACTTAGTGACAAAGTCAGAACAGCTGTGTATCTCTTCCTGATTCTTATAGATGACAATGTTTTGGTCCACTGTAATTAGGGAGCATAATTGAATGGACATTACATGGGCAACTAAATTCAAATGTCCTGACTTCTAACATTTTACTAGTTCTGCTTTGTTTGTAAAAATCCTAATTTGGTTCTAACAACTCTTTCAGCATGTTTTTGCATGTGTAAAAACCCATTAACAATAACTGTATACAGACAGTTAAAGCTTGTGTCTAATACACATTTTAAAAATACAAAATTCTCTAATGTTCAGGCACAGCATGGGGCCAATTTAGGGCTCGAATAATTCATAAACAATCCTGTAGTAATGTTAGCAAAAAAGTTCACAACAAAACTCTGCTCTAAGCAGGGTGTTTAATGTTTCATGTTACATTCTGTAATTTTATTCATGTTGTTTCTTTACCTTGAGATGTGTAAGGATGTTCATGCAGAGACAAATCTACCTATATAACAGTTACATGTCTCTTTGTATTGGTGTGCCCTCTTGTGGGCACAACAGGACACTAAATTGTCCCCCCCTTTAAAATAATGTGACTTTTGGGCATCCCTAAACTGAAACAAATTACTTCCAGGATTTTTGTAACTCAGATAGCAATTTAACAAAAATTAAAGTTTATCATCCAACTTTCATTGTTTGCAGAAACCCAAGTAGTGAAACGCGGAAAGTAAAACGACTCACCATGTGCTTGGAGAGCTCGGGCTTCCTGTGTTTTAAGAACTGGTCAAACACCTTTACCTGGTGCTGCACCCTAATCAAGAAGAAGAGAAAAAGCCAGACAGTTTAGCAGATCACAGACACAGAGACACACAGGGACACAGAGGGACACCAAAAAAAACAAAACAAACCCCAACAACAAAAGGTTTGTAATGATCGTTTCATGATAACCCAACTATCAGATAAAACTGAATTTTTCTTTTCTTATCCTTAATTTACATCAGTTATATCTACACATAAACCACCCTCTGGTTGTATTTTCTTTGTATTTGTATAAAGGCCAACAATAAGAACTGAAGTTTTCTTACTTGGTGAGGCTAAGGTCAAACATTTCACCCAGATATTTGGGTTTATCCAACAAAGCCACCAGAGCCCAAAAGGCCTCCTCCTCCCCCAACTCCATCAGCAGCACTGCTGCTATGTAGGACATCCCTGTAAAATGCACACACATTTTTTCCTGGATGAAGCACAGGGTAAAAGGTAGCATTAATATCGTTTGTCAAGAAAAATATACATGTGTTTATAGGGGTGCTCAAGATCCAGCTAATCACGGGTGTGTGTCACCACATTCTGCACAGGCAAAGAAAGAATGTTGCTGCTTATGATCTCTGCACTGTGCTAAATCATCAGACATCATGTAAATAATGTTATACACAGCATATAACTGAAAATTTTCAGACACATGCTGTGTCTATCCTCAGGTTTGACTTGCTTTGACTGGATGATTAGTCTGACATCAGTTAATTGTTTTCTTGCTGCACAATGACATTGTCAAGCGCACCAACACTGACAATGAAACTGGCCATAAATGAATTTTTCTCCCACCCATAAATTTTAAAAGACATTCAAAATAGGACTTCTAGAATATATAATGTCATGCAGAAGATCACTAGAAACCATTGTTCATAAAGGGCCATCAAACAACATTGTTTTCTAATAAACATTTCCCAAACAAGATACAAAATGTAATTATGAGTATTGTCTATTTGGTGCAGATAACTGGGATCAGCTTTCGGTTATATAAGATTTACAAAATAACAAATGTTCTCTACAGTTTTACACTAAGCAGTATTCTTACAGAGACAAAATTAAAATGCAACTCTAACCATGATGTTATACATTTAAGAAGAAAATTGGGAAGACAGAGAAAAGGTGATGGTGATGTTTCAGAATTCCAAAACAAAAAAGCAGGTATAAAAGCTTATGTAGTTATTTCTGCAGATCTTTAGGTTTTAAGACTAAATTATTCTAAAGTGCATCATGACAGAAATGTGCAATTAATACAGGAAAAGATATGATTACTGAGCCATTTTTAAAAACAACTTGAACAGCGTCAACTCTGCTCTGTATTAAAAGGTCATCTACCTCCATCAAGTGGTCACATGATGCACTGCAGGTATCTATAGAATAACTGAAGCAGCTTTCAAAAAAGTGTGCTGACTGATGAGGGAGCACAGTGTTAGGTTTAAATCTCCCACAATATGTAGCATAAGACCAATAAAATGTTGCTAATTTATTGATATTATTTGCTGTGTAGCACAGGCAGACAAAAGGAAAGGGTACCACTATAGTATATCCAGCTAAAATGCAGGGAAGTGAAAACATGCACAAACAGTTCAGTCATTCGTCCCATTACCTTGGGTGTATCCAACCTTTGGGTTGTATTTGGCGCAGGCGATTAGGACCCTGAAGAGTTTCGCTTGACCCTCGATGGCCTCGGGACTTTCTCCCATCAAGGACCGATGAGTAGGGAAGGAACGCTCTGTTGATATGGACCATTTCAAATGAAGTGCATTACTTTTATTTGTTTCAGCTACACATGGTGCAACATACAGAAACACTATGTAAAGTGAGTGTCTGAACTCACGAAGGTCCAGGGCGATTTGTCTGAAGAGTGTGATGTCATCGACAGAGTAGCGGGGCTTTGAAGGGCTGGTGGACTGTTGACGGTTTAAGCCCAGGTTGTTCTGAGTGTCGCTCAGTGTAGTGATTGCAGACAAGATGCCGTATTCACTGACTCCCAGGTCGACCAAAGGTCCTCGCACCTCAGACAAACATGTCTGTTGAAAAGAATACAACATATACTCTGGCTAGAAATCCATCAATAACATTAATGGTTGAAGGAGAAAGGCACTAAATGCATGCAGAGTAACATGGATGAATAAAACTTCAATGAAACTGTGGCATTTGAACGCATTGAGGCTCTACAGAGCAGCTGGGTTAGGGTATTAAAAAACAGGGTGTTAGGTAAAGAGCGTATTGGCTCAAACATTTTTAAAAAGTTCAGTTGTTATCTTATGTATATTGTTAATCCATGAAATTGCATTTCAGTGGATACAGCAGGGTCTTTATGTTCTTCTTTATTGACTTTAATAAATGAAATTCACATCTAACTACTGAATTTGCACTAAGCAACCTTCCGGTTATATAGGAATATAATCAGAATAAAACCAGCTGGCAGCCAGTTGACTCGAGTCATTCAGACTGATGGCAACATGCTGGCAATCTGTCTGAATATATAAATTAAAGAGCAATTATTTGCAAACCTTTGACAATCTCTCTAATTCTAATTTGCAATTCTAAATTGGCCAAATGTTGTCTGTTGCTGTGTGGTAACCATGCAACAGACTGGCTACCTGTCAAGTGTGCACCCCGACTCTCAGCATACGACAGCTGGGGTAGGCTCCAGCAACCCTGAACTGGATAAGCCGAAGAAAATGGATCAATGAAAGTTACAAAAAAATTCCCCCCAAAAATGACTAGGCAGTAGACTTGTAGTCAAGACCGCCTAAACCAAGACAATACCAAGACCAGAGAGTATCAAGACCAAGACCAAGACAAAGTCGAGATGAGACCAAGACTGAGACCGAGACAAAAAAAGTCTTTAAACTGCAGCCAGATGCTGCTTCGTTTACGGGTGTCAGGCATATTTATGTGTTTTTGCAATGCACTCGCACAGCCCTCCTCACTGCTGTCTAATGTCTCACTCACTCACTGAGGGGACAGACACACGCTCCACTTGACTGTCGCGTCTCTCACCCTCTCTGTTTTTCACATGATGATATTATCCTATATCCTTGCATGTGATTGGCCACATTATGGAGGGCTTGGAGCATAGCTGAGCCACTGTGTGAGAGCTGAGCAGCGAAAGGAAATTAAGTGAGGAGCCGGCTCTCGCTCAAGGGGAGTCAACTCTTCTGATTCACTACAAAGCACTCTAAGCACGGCTCTTAGAGCTGATGCTTTTGCGCATGACACATTATAAAACATTACGTTGTGTGTCATGGATACTGTTGACTCCAAATCTCCCGACCACTATGTTGAACTGAGACAGCAAGACCAAGACAAGACCGAGGGATCCGAGACCAAGACAACACCAAGACCATGTAAAATGGTCTCGAGACATCCAACTCTACTTGGCAGCCACAGATTTATTTATTTTTGTGTAGATGCAAGGACCTTGCTGACCTATTTTATTTGTTTGACTGAGCTTTTAGCACTCTCTGACATAGAAGATAGGTATGTCAAACTAAGTATGTTCAGTGTTGGATGCTTTCCCCCCCCTCATTGAATCAATTTAATGCAAGTTTGTGTAACTAATACTATTTCAGGATGGTGGTGCAAGAGATAAGCCCTCTTGTTTGTATTATTCTCAGAGTACTTTAAATTATTTAATAAAACACTGATATTTGGTGTATCTGTATCGATACAATATCACCATGCAAAATATTGCAAAACTATGTTTTACAGACTTTTTTCAAACACCACTAGTGAATCGACATTTACAGCACATAACTACTTTACCTATTTTGTCATTACTATTATTACCAGAGGTAATTAACAAATAAATTTTTCTTATTTGGTATTATGTTGCAAGTAAAGAAGGGAGAAGGGGAGAGATATTTTCTCTCTCTCCCCCCTTCACAGTTATTTTTGGTTAATTAAGTGAGATTCAGCAACTACAGGCTGCAGGTCTCTAGGCCTGTGCTTAGCTAACATTATCGTTAGCCAAGTTATTGTATGATGCAGTCCTACTGCTTAGTGTTACAGGAAATAACACAGCTACTAATGTTGGCTAGTTAACATTACTTAATTGCCAAATTGGGTTTGATTCAGCAGATGTAGAACTTATCCCCTTCTTTGCAACTTCATCTCACAAGCTGTTCACACATTTTTGTTTCACTTGAATTCATACAGTGAAGTTGCAAAATTATTCTTTTTTGTGCGCTTCCAGGCTGCCACTGTTTGACATAAAATGTTTTTCAAACAGTAACTACTGTGTGGAAAACTTGGAGCTGCTCCCGCAGTGACACACTGCAGTATCAGTACAATCTGAATCTGACATATCATTGGAAAAGCACATGGGTTTCAAACCTGTGACACTGCACGTAATGTGAAGGTACACAAGAATTTCTCATTCATGTCCAGTTGGGCAGAAACATTTCTCATCCATTTTCCAAGGTTGCAGAAATGTCAAAAATGACTAAAAATGAAATAAGTGCCCAGATCTCATGGGAGTATTTGTAATTTATTTTCAAATAAAAAGTATAAACCATCCTAATATTTAGTCAACACATCTAAAATCTGAAATGAGGGGATTGTTGTTGTTGTTGTTTTTGTTGTTTTCTTTGGCAAATTGCCAGCATTTTTTTCCCCCAAGGAAGACTAATCAATGGCTCAATGACACAACTAAAGTTAAATGGTAGCCAAATTCTTTTAAAATTCCTGGTCAAAACGGATAGATTGAAAAAATATATGGAATCGCCACTCTTGGAGGATGTTTATTCAACTTTTTTACTTTGCAGCAAATAAAGAAATCAAAAATATGTCTCAAAACTATTTCTGTTTAAGAGCTGAACATTCTGGCTTCACGAAACAAACCTAAACCATATTAAATTCACTTATTTTAATTAATAGCATGTTTTGTCCTTCTCTACATCAAGTAGATGAAAAAGAAAATTATGGAACCACATTGCAAATAATACTTGCAGAAACCTAAATATGCAAACTAGTCTGTAGTTTGCATGTGATTTAAAGGAAGTTCATCAAGAGAGCTCTCAGCTGAAAAAGCAAAGAGCTATAAAACTGAAACTGAAACGAAAACCAGCACTCACATGCACACAGAAGGAAATAAGCTTACAGTGAGCTAAAGAGAAACAATCCTGGGCTGCAGTTGAAAGCGATGCTCACTGATGAATCATCAATCTATATTGGCCAAGAGATGATGCTCATACTTTTGTCTGGTACTTTTGCACCGATTGTGAGAAGGAAAAAAGGGACTTTCCTCCACTCATGTGACAAGGGGTTGATGCCAGATAAAGAGCCAGAGGAGATGGCAAGCATGACATCAACACTAAACTCAAAGCTCATAATTTGGACACCTTTTCCCTTTCCTTATTGTAAAATATATTTGGTGAAGATGAAGTTACTTTTTTAGGGTGACAATGCACCTTTCCACAGAGTAAAGTGTTAACTCAGTGACATGGCCAGCAGTCCTGATATCAGTCTGACAAATATTTCCCCCCTCAATATTGCGCAATTCCATCTTTTTGCTCAATCTATAAAAATATGCCATATAAATTATATTTGTTTAAGACATGTTCCATGAAGCCAGAATGTTCCACCAGTAAATAAAAAGCAAACAAAGCAAACATGGAAATACTTTTTTACAGCGGTTGTACACCGTTGTGGGCAACTTTATGATGACAATTCAGTGTTAAAGTGTGCGGCTTTGCAATGTCATTCTTTTGGATGTCACATGGTATATTACCTGGTAGTTGAAGTCACTGGCATCTCTCATAATATCAGTGGTAAGCAGGCACTTCCATACTCTGCCGCGCAGGCTTGGAGGGATACCCATTTTGATAAATCGCTCAATCTGAAAACACAGCAAGAGTGCGAAGAAAACAAGCATGTTCGAATGGTTGCCAAATGTGCAAAACACAAGACTTTCATCAGTGCTTTTTGTAGTTTATACAAGTCTTACTTGGCTCTTGCAGATAAAGCTGGCTCCATTCCAGTAGCTGAGCAGCTCACACAGCTCTTTCACCCTCACTGAGCTCAGCTGGGGGTAGCTGATAGACAACACAACATGGTGAGCTTGGGCTGATTCATCAGCTTTTTCAATCAGACAGATACTGTCATTTTCAGTAATTCTAAACTCTGGGCTTTAAGTGCTCAGTGTCTGACAAACCATGACTGCAGCTAGTCAGAGTGTAATACAATACTCACTGGAGGAAGTATTCAAGTAGAGATTTTTGCGTTTTCATTATCATTTCACGTGTATGACGTGTGGACATGTAAGCCTGCAAGGTACACCTGAAATAGTTTTTAGCAGAGTAGCTTTGTCTAACATTATAAATATTCCGCTTTACTCAGCTTTTCTTGTTTGTTTCAGCAACTTGTTGAACTTAGATTCTATTTAATAAATGGATCAATACAGTTGGCGATAAATAATTTAAAAGACTTTAACCTTATTAATACAACGAGGTTTACACTTTTAAGAACAAGATAGTTAGAAACTCTTAAAGCCGACAGCTAATGTTACCACGACTATAACTTACTGAAGTGATTAGTTTACTTTAACAACAAGATTAAAATCATACAGTTAAAGAACACAGTTGAGACAGTGAATACTGAAATAACTAGCGTTTAGGAGTAAATGACTCGGGTGAGGAGCATAATAAGCCAGGCTAGTTGCTTAAACGGGAGCTAATGTATCGTGAACCTGTTCCGCACCTGTAATCGTGACACCGGTGATGAAGTTTCTGGTCCTTTTTTTTAGTGAGAGCAAAGCCGAATTCATCAAAACGCAAATTCTCACTGCGCCTTTTAATTGTTGAACTCCTCCTGGTGACGTTGGTATTGCTTCTCCGCTTCATGGTGATGAGAAAATCCTTCGAACACTACTTCATCCGTTCCCAAAAAGGAAAAGTGAAATTCACCGTCCAAATGATTTCTTGCCGCTGCAGTCAAAGTAACCGGCCGCTCTGGAACCGCCCCCTTTCCCTGCGTCATCTCCAACCGAAAATGGGCGGGTAAATCAGAAACTTTGAAATGAGTGATGCGAAAATGCTCTAAATCTATATGACTAAACATCAAACAACAATATAATTCTTCTAAGATAAAGAAGCTTAAGACCTGATATATATATAGTGAAATGTGACTTAACAATATTAATGCACTGAAGCAAACGCAGTATTCGAATGTATCTGGTCAGCATGGAACTGATTTTCACAGTTCTCCACCCTGGGGTCAGGCCCTTAAGGGTCCCCGAGTACACCTGTTAGGCCATGTGATAATTAATGGGGAAAGCAAAAAAAGAAAGAGCAAAGTTCTTGAAACTTCTTGAAAATGGTGGTTTATTATCAGTATTTTGACTTTGACTTTTTGCAAATAAATGAAATATATTTATTCTGTCACAGTTAATTATTACTATCTTTTAAATCACCATTTTCTATCACGTTTAAAACAAGGGAAATGAAGTAATCCACTCTGAGACTTTAATGCAAGAGGGACACAACGAAGGTAAACGTATAACCGGTCATAGCCAAGAGAGGGCGCTGTCGCACTATTTACATCTGATTCACATGCATTTCCAACCATCTCAGCGCACTCACACTAAAAGTCACAAACAGTTCAAAATAGAACCTTCATCTATATCAAACTAATAAATAACGTTTGTTGCAGATTATGGCAACACAATCTGTAAAAAGCAGATTCCACAATTTATGTGTCGTATTGAAGTTTTAGTCTAGTCTTACTGAATGCCTGCTGTACTTTGAGGAGAATTGGATAATGTAAAAGTAAATCCTCTTAAGATTCTGATTTTAAGAGCATTCTACAAGAAGATGCAAATGTGCAGAGAATGAATGCAGCATGCACTCTGGTTCTGCGTAAACTGAGAACATTATTCTTTGATGTCTTGATGCATGCTCAATAATAAATGTAAGGAAATCCCAGAAAGCTGATTCTCTTCAGCTGGACGATGCGTTTTCAGTGGGAGACACGTTTCATCGTCTCAACACTTACATGAACTGAATCTGCTTTTTGGCATAATGTTTGATGTCGATGAGAATGTGTAGTGTAAATGAAATGAGAGTTTCCAGCACTATTTTGTTACTGTTTGCAGAATATACAATGTTGACATTTGGTTGTCCTTTCCTTGCTCTGCCTCCGCGAATCTTCACTCCTCATTGTCTTCAATACTGATTTAAGTAGGGTTTTTTTTGTGTGTAATTCTACTGAGTTCAAGTGCAATAAATAAGCTTTACAATACTACTATATTAGCAACTTATCCATGAGGGATTGGAAGATTTTAACAACTGGGTAGACTGTTGACCAACTTCAGCAATGAAATAATGCTAGCAACTCAGCTATTCAGCTGACAGAGACATATTCTACGTTACATATTTCAAACAGTTTTTAAGATGGAATTCATCATTCTGAAAAACATACTGAAAACCTTGACATGTAAATGCTCTTTATTGTGTTGCTACAAAGTATAAAGTACAATGCTTAAAAAGGCTTCAGTTAGACATGGAATTCATTTCTATAACCCTTCACAGTGATAAAGGCAGCATCCATTGCCAGCAAAGGAGCACTAAACAACAGCAGATTATAAAATACCCTATGATTAGCTTTCCTAGACGTGCTTTTTTTTTTTTTTTTTTTGCATGATTTTCAAGTGATAATAGAGATTTTAATACAGGATGCAGAATTAACCAACACATTCCCACACCCCACTCATCACACACTAAAACTTGTTCTGGAACTGCTTCTTGTCATATTTTAACACTGGGGTGCCTAGTTGATATCAGCATATCACTATAGTGTCAGAAATTCACATACAAATAGCATGCATTATATATGTTGGCACAGTTAATGGCAGTTTTGAGTTTAAATGCAAACTTTCTATTTGAATTTCTGCTTTTTTGCCTCATAAAACTTTTCTCTAAATATAGTGATAACATCGTTACGGTGAGGTTTTTTGATCACAAAAATCATAAAGTGTAAATCTTATATTTTGGTAAACCAAGACAGAAAACAACCCTGTTTTAGGTTAAAATACATCTTTCCTTGAACTACACATTAAAATTAAACATTTTAAAACATTTCTTTGGTTACCACATCTTTCAACAGCAACAACACCAGTAGAGCAATTTTTCTTGGGAATGTTGAATAATTACACTTAAGGGGTATTACAATGCGAAGCAAATATGTCATCAACAAACATCAGTATATTAACACTGTTGTAATATTAGTCTGCAATGACTTGGTCATTCTTGCGTGTCTCCACTTTGTAAATCGTCTGGTAGCCATCATCCCAGGCATACAGCTGCTTGTCTCCGGGGTGATAGTGGATGCTGCTATGGCTGGTGTAACGTTTCGGGAAGAACATCACAGGACTCTCATTGCTGCACAGGGAACGGGATGGCACAGGGAAAAGAAAGTGGTTTGTCATGTAGATACTGTATGTATGCAGGTGTATACTGTGCATGCATGTGCATGTGTACAAGCCAACCTGTGAATGGTGTCATGGATGTCATAGAGACACTGTATGGTGGAACGTCCTCCATAGCGTGTGTTGTAGACCACATAAAGGGTGCCACATATTAGGAAAGCTCCTTCAGCGTCATGGCTTCTACACTGTGTGTCCCACACAGACTCTACTGCCAAGGTTCCTAACATATAAAGAAACAAAGCTGGACTGAATGGATATATGTTCTTGCTTTATGTAAGTGGCGAGATCAAACCATAGAGGGTACAAAAGATGGATTTACTGCTCTGGGCAAAAGTTTTGAGTCACCAGTCATTTCCCAAAAAATATGCAATACAGGTGCATTTATTAAATTTACATAGTATATAGGAAAAAATAGAGTTTATGCAGTTCTTATAGTTTTAAAGCAAATATTTCCTGTGACCACAACACAGCCTGAACTCTATGTTAGGGAACCCTTCTTGCTATTTTTTTAAGTAGTCTAGGGGAATAGTTCTCCAGGCATCTTGAAGGACATTTGATGTTGGCTGCCTTTTGTTATGTTCTCTCTCAAGATTATCCCATACTGCTTAAATAATGTTTCTGGGCTCTGGGAAGGCCAATCCATGACTGATAGTGTTGCATTGTGTGTTGTTCTATCCAGGTATGCTTTTACTACATTAGCAGTATGTTTGGGATCATTGTCATGCTGAAAAATGAAGCCAGTTCCTTTCAGATGCTTTACAGATATTATTGCATGGGGAATCAAAATCGTGCTATACTTTTATGCTTTGATGAGACCATTTATGGTAACGATAAACTGCACAGTAAATGGGTCAGTTGCAGGGCCAAATGCATTTCTCAGGTCCTGTATCAGGTCTTTACCAGAATTTTTTCCAATTTTTTTAGTAATCACTTGCAATAGCTGTTGTTTTTTTAGCCTTTCGTGTTCTTTTGTCCAAATAAATGAATAAAGCACTCCTTTGAAAACTGTTAGGAGCAAGAACTAGAATGAGTGAACAAGTAGCCCATGTACAGAAAAACTTTGAAAGACCTTTAGATCTGTATAGTCCTCCTTTCTGACTTGTTGAATGACCTGAGAGCATAAACGCATACGTTTTTAAAGAGCAAATAAGGTTATGCCTGTTTTCCCGTACATTTCGCCTCCTGTTGCCCATAAAAATTTTTTTTTTTTTAATACAGTCTACGGATCAGAAACCACTCTGATGCTTGTTTTATTATATATAT